ATCTAGAATGACTAGAAGAATGCGCCAAGTTTGTCAGTGAAATATTTCCATACGGTTGAAGTTATTTGAAGATATTTCAGTCATTAACACTCCATTACTCCCGAAGAGTCCTCATTTTTTCCCTTACTCCCCTTGTATTGATTTATCTCATCCCTTGAGGCTCAATCAGTCCTATATAGTTACCCAATTTCCCTGCGGCGGTGGAGGTCTGCAAGTCATTTTTTTATACAATTTTCAATAAAATAAATGTAAAGATATCATAAACACTAAAGTTGATGGACTCACACAGGTGTTCGCCAGGTGTCTCTGTTGATGCTCTGAGTATCAGGCGGTGTTCTGCACAAAAATAACATTGTCATCCTATTACAGTCTTATCGCGAAGTAAAATATTAGTATTCTATTACGAGCACCTAGTGGAAGTCACTCACATTATTCCAGAGGGAAAGTCATCGATTTTTTTGGAGTCACGTCGATACACTGCGGCTAGGGTATGAGCGACGGGTGTACTGAGCATCATTACCAGGATGCATAAAACAGTGACGAACCAGCATCCGTTCTGCGTTAGAAGGTGAAAATATGATTAATAATAATGAAGGGATCGAGGGGTTACGCCACTAACCAGTGGACCTAGGACGTGCTGGCACATTAGTAATTTAATGCTATTAGCGATGTCCCACAGTGGACGACATTTGGTTACACCTGCTCTCATTTCATTGAAAACGTGAGTGCGCCATTGATCAAGGTAACCAGTCAATCTTTCAACGTAAGTCTTCGTTTTCTGGAATTCATATGCAACATTTAGTGTGGTTAGTCGCTGGCTGGGTTAATTTGGAAGGGTACGAAAATTATTGGAGGTTTGACCCTCATTTTTTACCCTCGAGGGTCAATTTCATGAGTCTTAGTCTCATTTTACTAATTTGAAAGTACGACGCAGGTGAATTCGATTTGCAGATTTGTTCTGTTCAATTCTACGATTTGACTGTCATGTTGGTATGGGTCAATCGATGCAGCAGATCAATTTTGTCGTCT